CATCTCGCGAGTCGCGACATTGACTCGCGAGTCGCGACTTGTATCGCGGAAGTCTTTTTTTCGGCTCTGTTGGACTCGCGAGTCGTGACCATCTCGCGAGTCGCGACTATCTCGCGAGTCGCGACTCCGACTCGCGAGTCGCGAGAAACTCTGGGCAGCTATTCGGTCTCCGTTTTTTCGGTCCTTCCTTCAGTATTCTAAGCACATCAACGGGTATTCATGATATCTCGGTCTCAGCTCTAGCAGTCCCGTCCTCAATCGACACAACCTACCTCCTGAGAACACAAACACGAAGAAAACACGAAGCAAAACACAGCAAAAAGACACACAAAACGAACTAAAGAGAGAAACGGAAAAATCACAGAATTGGACCAAATAAACTACGAAAATCCTATAAGTGGGAAAAATAAAGAGAAAATAAAACGAAAATAAAGACACAAAAATGGGACAAACAGGAACCAGAAGGCTGTTGAGTGTAGTGAACAGAAGGCTGTTGAGTGGCTGTGTAGTTGACAGAGGACTGTGGGTTATTATTTTGAAGGGAAGGATGAATCCTGGGGCCTTTGGGGCCAATCCAGTTGGAGGGATAGCCAATAACTTGGTAGCATTTCTCAGTGGGGTGATTATAGCCACAGTGACCACACTTAGACTTCTTTTTGTCTTTGAATGAGTTGGAAGTAGGTGGAGTAGGGTTTTTGAAATACTTTGAAGTTTTGGCTAACATGACTGTAGGTTCAAAGGATTTGGAAGTATTTTGCAAAGACCTTTGACTTTCTTCTTGTAATAAGAGAGAGTACACTTTGGACAGTGAAGGCAAAGGTGATGAAAGTAAAAAATGGCTTCTCAAAGCATAGTATGAATCATTCAATCCAATCAAAAATTTCATCACAGAGTCATTGTGTTGGGTGACAGAAAGAGAATCAAATATATCACATGAACAACGGCTTATAGCACCACAAACACATTTCAGAACAAGTCTATATGTAATGTACTCATCCCAAAGTGATTTAAAAGCAGTGTAGTATTGAGTAATAGACTGAGAACCTTGATCAATAGTACTCAACGATTTTTCAAGTTGAAAAACCCTGGGACCACTACTAAGAGCATAGCGAGATTTCAATTCATCCCAGACATGTTGAGCATCAGAAAAGAATAAAAGAGATTGACGAATGTCTTTAGATATCGAATTGAGAATCCAAGAAAGCACCAAGTTATTAGCACGGATCCAAGCAACATGTTCAAGAGGATGAGTAGTAGGGTTAGATTTTACCAGAGAGCCATCGATAAATGAAACCTTCTTTTAACGCTCAGAGCCATCAGAACAGCTCTTGACCAAGCCATGTAATTTTCTCCGGTGAACAGATCGGCGACTATGACAACACCGGGGTTGTCACTAGCATGTAGGTAATACGATGAAGTCGGATCGTCAGTCGGTTGAGTCATCGTCAAATCGAACCAGATCGGAACCAAAAAACAAAGGAAAAGTGGACAAACCGGAAAAGATCGGAACAAATCTGGGTAGATCTAAGTAGAACGAGACCAGATCGGCGCAGATCAAAACCTATTGAGTCGAGAAATAGAAAAACAGCAAACTAGGGTTCGAGAAATTGAACCAAAATCAGTAAAAAGCAGCCGAAAAACAGAATCGATCGAAGAACCTGAAAACTGATACCATATTATGATATAAAATGTATGAAACTAAAAGTAAAACTCCATTGATGAACTGAATCAAGGTGGAAAGATTACAGAGAGGAAAGCTTTAGAGAGAGAGAGAATACAGATCGTCCGAAGAGGAAAAGAAAAAGTGAATGAAGTCCAAACCCTAATATGCTATTTATACTAAGGCTAATATAACTAAAAGTGCTATATGAATGTAAAAGTGCTATTACAATTTTAACAACTAAAATGCTAATTACAAATATATATTTAATAATTGTAAGGAAAAAATTTTAATGTGATTATCAGAATTGATCTTTGTGAGATTTTTCTAAAAAGAAAATAAGTTGAAATAGAAAGAGTGATGGTAGAGGAAAGAACAGAAAGCTACTGTGTATAGGTGCTACCGACTATTCCAAGCATGGGTAGGGGGGCGCTGCAGTTAGTCACTTACTGCAGCCCATACAGCTATTTTT